AGTATGAGAAGTAAAGGAGACGTTCTATTTTTGAACAGCAAGTACTCTGCATTCTTCTTGGCTCACATGCATGATTTTTACACTCGCGTTAATGAGCGCTCAAACATCACGCGTAATGATCTTTACACGTATTTTAAATTTAGCAGGTTGTCGCATGAGCAGGTGAAGTGTCACGATTATTTTAGGCGCTCACGGATTCATCACCCCACGAAGCCGTCCATGGTTAGGACTCAAAAGATAACGTGTGTCTATTTTTAGACTTGACCTTGCATTCCTAAAAAAGTCATCAGTTCCGGTATTGTCAATTATCCAGATTTCTTTTTACAAGGCCGTTCGTGAATCGTGGTGGTAAAATGTGGGGAGGGGTGGGGAGGGGAGGAAGTGTGGGGAGTGGTGGGGAAGGGAGGAAGTGTGGGGAGTGGTGGGAAGGGGAGGAAGTGTGGGGAGTGGTGGGAAGGGGAGGAAGTGTGGGGAGCGGTGGGTAGGGGAGGAAGTGTGGAGAGTAGTGGGGAATGGTGGGGAGTGGTGGGGACTGTTGGGGAGGGTGATGGGGAGGATGGTGGGGAGGGTGGTGGGGAGTGATGGGGAGGGTGGTCGGGAGGGGAGGAAGTGTGGCGAGGCGATTCAGCTGGACCAAGATTAAGTTGTAGAACTAGCCTGCACGTAATGTCTTCCCAGCTACGGGCTTGAGTACACTGTGGACTGGGGGTGGGGTGGATTGGTCAATATTTACATACTAAGCGTGTGTGGGGAGGTGAGGGGTATGACAGGTTGGGTAGGGGGTGTAGTTAACATTGGTCTTTGTGAACCCGGATATCAGGCAGTACATTGAGAGCCATTGTTGAGACTCATAGCTACAAGTCATAGATGAGAGTATCACCCAGGAGCCGCTGATGACAAACGAAGCCGTCCTTGAGAACATTCGTGACGAACCATGGCTGAAAGCATAGGCTGAGTTGACCAAGACGGGCTGAAGTGGAGAGAACTAACTGTGGGGGTCCCATATGACTTGAGCATCGAAAGAAAACGATGGTGATGCTAGTCGAAACCAAGTGGTAAAGCTAGGTTAAGTTATGAGAGTATGAGTAGGAGATACAAAGCCTTAGGTGTAATCTGTGTGAGAAACCTTGGACCAGTGTTTCTTCCAGACTTTTTTTCTCCGGTTGGGGGGGGGGGGGGGACATTGGTAAAAGTATATTTTCGATATAATATAAATTCCATTCGGGGGGAAAGCTCGTCCTCCCGAAGAGATGCCTGGAAGAAACTCTGCCTTGGACTTAATTCATAGCTGAGTGATGTAGGCATTTCTATCTCTACAACATGACGCTAGAATTAAAACTTAGTTTAAGGAAAAAAAAATACCCAAAAAATTCCTGAAGTGTATTTATAAATTTGTTATACGAACGGTTTAATTCAATGACGTCATCGTCTGAGTCTTATGAACGAATGAAAGACATAAGAGAAGTCAAGCGACAACGGGAAGGAGTGGGTGGGGGGTGGGTGGTGACGTCATATCTAGGTTCTAGCTGAGCACTTGGCTTTAGAGAGGACCTCGTAAAAATAGAACGACGAGTCTAGACGCTTGCACGAGCTTTATGTTGGGTATCATTATACGTACAGGGACTCACTATCATCAACATTCAACAGGCATGCTAAACTTGGTTGGGCGGTGGGGGATATTTGGGAGAAACATAACGGTCGTCAGCATGGTGTGTATGTGTGTGTTTGTGGAGAAGGGGGGGGGGGAGGAAAAAAATATTCTAACATGAAAATAAAAAAAACAACATCTTCTGAATGGTGAAGATAGTCTCGTGGATGAATATTTCGGAAATAGAAGCTAAAACTTAATAGTATGTAGAGTGGGTCTTGGGTTTATACTGTAAGAAAATTATGCTAGATATTTGGGGGTGGTGGGGGGGGGGGGGGGAAGGTAGTCTGGGCCAGGAGGGAGAGGGGGTGGGGGCAGCTCGTGTTAATCTAGGCGACTTCAAGAAGACTTCCGGTCCACGCCCCAGCCTCGTCTGGAGTACGGTCACGTGACCAAGTGGGTTTGTGGTCTATGTCCCCAATTATTAACCTCGTTAGCCAAACAAAAAAGGTTGCCTCTTTGGTCTTACTGAGGCGTCTTCAGACCAGTGGTAATTGGACAGAGTTTTGTGATTTTAATTTTTTTTTTTGTTAAAGTAAAACAAAAATTGTGACTTATTTATTATAAAGTCTAACTAGTGTACTTTCAGTCACACCTAAATTGGACTGATTTTAAAGAGATTTTTTTCTTTGAATTAAAAAAAAAACCTCTAAATTTTTAAATCGATAATAGACTGGATAAACACACAAAAAATGGTTGAAATGATAATTACATTGGAGTTTATAACAAGTAGAAAAAATAATGAAATTATTTTAAGAATTGCTATTTGTACAAAAAAAAGGCGTTTGTGAGTTTGAGGGGAGAGATGGTGTGGGGTTGGGGGTTAATATGAATCAACATGCAGATGTCCAGATCCATCTAAAGCACATACCAACCAGTGATGGTGTAAGATCGATAACTTCTTCTTCTTCTTCGATCTTTATTTTAATATCGGATTATTCATCCCACACAATTAAGTAATACGTGTCAAATTGTTATGCGCCGTTTCGCCCGTTGACTCTGACTTCAGCCTGCTTTTCTTTCTACATTTGCTTCCATAGTCTTTGTCCAACCAAGAATAAACTACAAGGCAGCAGTTTTTTGAATTTTTTAATTTTCTCTCCGGACGAGTTGCAGTTCCCAGCTTAAAGAACCTCATCTTCCCGAGTTTCGAACACGGCACTTTTAGCTTTAGCAATCATGAGCTCTAGATCCCGACCACGCCATTCTCAAATTGAGAAAACAATAACAAGTGCTAGTGGAAGATTGAAAAAAAGGGGCCACCGACCACACCAAAACAAATTGTGGGATAAAATTGATGGGGCCACATAGTCACCCCAGGACCTTCTTTCTCCCCCCCCCCCCCAGTCAATCTCCCCGACCCCCGGGCGTTAAGTATCCCACTAGATCAAACCAAGAACAGGCGTCCTAAAACTAAGACCAAGCGTTGATCTCGATTGAACTATCACATACGCTTATCGATTTCATATCACCATTTTCTTCTTGGATAAAAAATGAGATCCATTATTTTTGTGGGGTTTTTCTTTTTGCCCTTATTTCCTAATGGAAGAAAATAACTGAGAAGATAAAAAAAAAGAAAATATTCTGACAAAAACTTATCAAAAAAAGCGTCGCCTGTTATGGTTATTTATAACTGTCTCAGTGTTTACTTTATTGATAATTCTTACTCACCCCACCACCCCACCATCCCACCCCCCTCATTTAGTATTCATTGGGAGTTGTCTTCATTGTTAGACACAAGTCTGGTTTTGTGCGCGTTGTATTTTAGCTAAATATACGTTCACAGCCATAATACAAGCTATAGTTTAGCCATAGTACAGCTTCCTGCCACAGTTACGTCATAGCCATAGTCCAGCCAGCCATAGTCCAGCCAGCGATAGTCAACCTCAGCCATAGTCCAGCCAGCGATAGTCAACCTCAGCCATAGTCCAGCCAGCGATAGTCAACCTCAGCCATAGTCCAGCCAGCGATAGTCAACCTCAGCCATAGTCCAGCCAGCCATAGTCCAGCCAGCCATAGTCCAGCCAGCCATAGTCCAGCCAGCGATAGTCAACCTCAGCCATAGTCCAGCCAGCGATAGTCAACCTCAGCCATAGTCCAGCCAGCCATAGTCCAGCCAGCTATAGTCAACCTCAGCCATAGTCCAGCCAGCGATAGTCAACCTCAGCCATAGTCCAGCCAGCCATAGTCCAGCCAGCTATAGTCAACCTCAGCCATAGTCCAGCCAGCCATAGTCCAGCCAGCGATAGTCAACCTCAGCCATAGTCCAGCCAGCGATAGTCAACCACAGCCATAGTCAACCACAGCCATAGTCAAGCCAGCTCTAGACAACCACAGCCATAGTCCAGCCAGCTCTAGTCAACCCCAGCCATAGTCCAGCCAGCCATAGTCCAGCCAGTTATAGTCAACCACAGCCATAGAGCTATAGTCAACCACAGCCATAGTCCAGCCAGCCATAGTCCAGCCAGCCATAGTCCAGCCAGCCATAGTCCAGCCAGCCATAGTCCAGCCAGCTGTAGTCAACCTCAGCCATAGTCAACCACAGCCATAGTCCAGCCAGCGATAGTCAACCACAGCCATAGTCCAGCCAGCTCTAGTCAACCCCAGCCATAGTCCAGCCTGCCATAGTCCAGCCAGTTATAGTCAACCACAGCCATAGAGCTATAGTCAACCACAGCCATAGTCCAGCCAGCCATAGTCCAGCCAGCCATAGTCCAGCCAGCCATAGTCCAGCCAGCCATAGTCTAGCCAGCTATAGTCAACCTCAGCCATAGTCAACCACAGCCATAGTCCAGCCAGCGATAGTCAACCACAGCCTTAGTCCAGCCAGCTGTAGTCAACCCCAGCCATAGTCAACCACAGCCATAGTCCAGCCAGTTATAGTCAACCACAGCCATAGAGCTATAGTCAATCACAGCCATAGTCCAGCCAGCCATAGTCAACCACAGCCATAGTCCAGCCAGTTATAGTCAACCACAGCCATAGAGCTATAGTCAATCACAGCCATAGTCCAGCCAGCCATAGTCAACCACAGCCATAGTCCAGCCAGTTATAGTCAACCACAGCCATAGAGCTATAGTCAATCACAGCCATAGTCCAGTCAGCCATAGTCAACCAAAGCTAGCCGTGTATATACGCCCAGGGGTAAGACAAAGTCCTGAGTGCCAATATTTTCCTGCAAATTGTGTTAAGGATTTCCTATTGGATCTGCAGACTGCCCGAGGGTGGGAAGAAGGGGTGAGTGGATGAGGGTGGGGGGGGGGGGGGTGAGTGGATGAGGGTGGTGGGGGGGGGGGGGGGGGTGAGTGGATGAGGGTGGTGGGGGTGAGTGGATGAGGGGGTGGGTGGGGAATTGTGTTGTCATGAGTCAACGATGTTTTTTACATGCTCGGGACAACATAATGAGGTGGGGGGGGGGGGAAAGCCTGGAGTTTAAAATAAAAGATGTCCTTGTTACTCTGAACAAGGCAATAAACGCGGTATTGGGGGCAACGATTTTCACTTTATAAATATTTAGGTAGGGCACGAGATGACTGGGGGGGGGGGGGGGCAGCCTGTTGACGAAATATGTGGGGACAACGCTGAATTAAATCTTAATAAATGAGTGCATCAGAAGCCAAATCTTGTCAAATTATGCTCTTAAGGCGGTAAATGAATCATATTTACACCAAGTAACAATACACGGTGGAAAATACATTGTATTTACACTAAGTCACGATACACAGTGGTAAATGAGTTGTATTTACATCGACTCTCAAAACACTGGTAGCTGACTTTGTTCTATGAATTTATTTTTATATTTTATCCCAGTAAAGCTCGGAAAATGTTCAATAAAAAAATAGTGTAGACCTACACTGATCTAAATTAAAGAAACAGTACATTATGTTTTGGTGTATTGTGTATTTAGCACCTGAAATCACGGTACATTTATGATATGTGAGGCAACATGCCACCACAGTCCAAGTGCTTATGCTTACGTTATAAACGTTTGTTATGTTCACTATCTATATCATAGTTCAAAGTATATTTGTATTTTATGCTGTTTTTACTACTGTATAGGGTTTATAAAAGACACATAACTATGTGTATATGTGTTTGTGTGTCGTAATTTTTTTGTATTACATTTATTGTTAATTCACATAATGTCGTTGTGCTTGTTGAGTGCATTGTGTCCATAAAAAATCATATGTGCTTGTATGTGTATTATGCATATATTGTAGTGTCCATACATAGTCATAGCTGTTTCTATCTGTGCTTATGCATTGTATACACTGTCCACTTAGAATAAAAGCTTTTACATGTGCTCGTGTATTGAATACTTTATCGTGTTCACATAGAGTCATAGCTGCTTCTATTTGTGCCTATGTATTGTATACACTGTCCACATATAGTCATAGCTGCCTATATTTGAACTTATGTATTGTATACACCGTCCACATAGAGTCATAGCTGCTTCTATTTGTGCCTATGTATTGTATACACCGTCCACATAGAGTCATAGCTGCCTCTATTTGTGCCTATGTATAATATACACCGTCCACACAGAGTCATAGCTACCTAATCCTGCTAACAGCGCCACATAGAGTCATAGCTGCCTCTATTTGTGCCTATGTATAGTACACACCGTCCACATAGAGTCATAGCTGCCTCTATTTGTGCCTATGTATAGTACACACCGTCCACATAGAGTCATAGCTGCTTCTGTTTGAGCCTATGAATTGTATACACTGTCCACATAGCGTCATAGCTGCTTCTATTTGTGCCTATGTATTGTATACACCGTCCACATAGAGTCATAGCTACCTGTACCTGCTAACAGCGCCACATAGAGTCATAGCTACCTGTCCCCGCTAACAGCGCCACCTACCTTTGATCTCGAGCGTAGCGCCGGCCAAATGTCCACTGTCACATGACATTGGTAGCGGCGTCTTTGACTTCTCTACGAAGACATGAACGGCGTTGATGTCGATGTTCCGTCTCTCAAGCACCGCCTCTAGCGAATCCCTGGGGGAGAGGGGAGAAACAAAAACAGGAAATGACGGCAGTGTTCATTAGGGGACAAGTAATTAACCTTTGGGTCATTGTATGGCGGCGTACTGTCTCCGGTTTAAATAGTTATTGAGCTGAGTGCCAGATTGTTCGTTTTGCTAATGGTGGATAAGTAGAGATAATGTTATAAATATATACATTTGTGTGCATATATATATATATATATATATATATATATATATATATATATATATATATATTCTAGGTTATTTATTCTAGGTTATTTATTATTCTTTAAATTGCAATTGAAAGATAAATCAATTAGGCTACATAAATGTATTTATTTATTCTAGGTTATTTATTATTCTTTAAATTGCAATTGAAAGATAAATTAATTAGGCTGCAATTTTTTTTATGCATTTTGTCTCGTGTAAAAAAAATCGGAAATCCGATAGATATTTCGCCATGAGATATTTTGCTTCTGAAATTTTGTCCATAATGTCTTTTGTCCTCAGAAATTTTGTCTCTGAGATAATTTGTCCTTGAGATAATGAGTCCTATTACCACATAATCATAATTTTACGCATAATGTCTATCCATAAACCAGCAAGGACAGTACCAGAGTATGCAGTACAAGTATAAATTTGGTTTGCTGGTGATTATTTAAAAAATTTAAAAACTTTAACTTGTGAATGAAAACAAAACATACATTTTACGTCGGCCTACTTCAGTGTCCCCTGCCCTATATAACCATTCCTTATTATAAACGACCCTAGCCAAATTATGTTTTTTTCCTCTGTCATATAATGTCAGTGATATAAACCAACACTGACATTTTAATTTAAAAAAGCAAGAGTTGGCCTGGATTTTGAATGACCTTGACCGCAGATGTGACGATAGGCTAGTGGTTAGCAATTGATTAATTATCGATTAACAAGGCTTTTTTTTCTACCCACTGAAAACAACATTACGGTTTTAAACTGACAGACGATACTACAAGCAAACTATTGAATCCAAATGCAAATTATTGAATCCAGGTTGTCTGCCCAACATATATATATATATATATATATATATATATATATATATATATATATATATATATATATATATATATATATATGTAACTAGGGTAGGCCTAGCTACTAGTTACAAATCTGATGCAACTGATAACGAACGATAAGCCGAGACGCAGTATTACAGTCTGATGCAACTGATAGCAGGTGGCTTATTAGATCGGAATGATAACAATCTCAAAGCCAACGCGTGCTATTTTGGGAAACGGTACGAGGGGATTCAGACGGCCTGTCAACTTTGATTGATAGGACGCAGATGTTTTATTAAACGGACTGTACGTTAGAACTGCGCAACTAGTAGTCGGAGACATCGAGTACAAGTATCGATTACGGAGGAATACAAGTACGAATACGAGTACGAATACAAGGGATAAATAGGAGGGGACGGCTGAACTCGCGGCTCTTCCCTTTTCGATCGCCCGCTCTCTTCATCGCTCGCTTTAGATCAGTCAGTCTGTGTGACATATCAAGTTGGTTATATTGTGTTAAGAAGGACAATAGACATGTGGATTCAGTTATATGAAGCCTAGTGAGGACTGTTAGGGGTCAGTTGATTCAGACTATTATTGTGAAGCATTCCTGTTGATTCATTGTGTTATATTGAAGCATTTCTTGATTCATGTAATAAAAGGATCAATAGCGAACCTGCATCTTCGAGTATTTCTACTGTAGTCGATGTTGTGTAGCATGAGTGGTTAAACTCGTTACATTTGGCACTACAGGCAAATAGTCTCGTAACATGTGGCGTTGCGAGCAGGGTAACTGTTCGCTCGTTACATATATATATATACGCAGTTTGAATTTTAAAAGCTGGTATGCCTAATTAGAATGGAGAAACTGTAAAACTTAAATAAATTAAAATTGCGAAGGTTAACCAGTTGAACTATAAATGGTAATCAATTAAAACTCGTGTAATACATGTGTTATACATGTGTTACAAGTCATCAGAGTAAAGTCAAGTGCTGAAACAATCGCTTATCAGACGTGGCGTCGCCAGTATACATTATTAAAGACAAAAAAACATTAAGCTAGTCAATATTCGCACCAGAATACGAGTAAAATAATATACACATGTGATATTATTTACTGATTATTTCTATCCCAACCCAAACATTGAAACCTAACACCTCAGAAATCACGGAACTCAAAAACTTTTCCCCGACCCAATAGCTGGCTGCCATTGTAGTTTGATGTTGGGGCCCAAGATGCCACGAACACAATAATAAGACAATATAACACGTCTCACGAGAAACAGCAACCTACAGGCGTACAAAGAGAAACATTTCTTGTGATTTGTAAACCGACTGTTATCCCTCTGATATCGATATTTTTTTTAAAGCTTGTTGTTATGTACGCAAATGCAGGATTTTTTTTTAAAGTTTGGCTATCTTACTGCACTTTTCCTATAGGTCGTTACAAATCTTTGGATTCTCCCTATCAGAAGTTTGATAGCCAAAGTTACAACAATATCAGGTGGTGTGGTACCCGTAGACTCAACAGAAAAATGTTTTATCTTTGACTTTATGAAGTACTACATGCTTTTTTTTTTAGCTTCATACCCGAAAGCATTGCGGTTAATCGTGTTTCAACGTGCATGCTTGGCTTTAGCAACACGTATTGCCATCTTTGTATCTTACTTTACAAACTCATTTACCATCTTTAGCTCCTTACTTTATAAACTCATTTACCATCATTAGCTCCTCACTTAATAAACTCATTTACCATCTATTATTTCTATTAGTTCAATCACCCCAGGAAAAAAATACTGTGTGGTTTGACCAGCAATTTCAACATAACATTTCATCATACAATTTTAAAAGCAAACGGACCTCAGGCAGAGATGTGTACGGTTCTGTAAAAACTGTTGAAAATTTGAGCACGATCCTCGCTCATGCCTTTAGCACAGTTTAGATGTATGGCAAGCTCATTGACTGGCCTACGTGTTGCAATATGTTTCTTAACCCTGTCCCGGCAACATATTTGGTACCCTGTCCCCGGCAACATATTTGGTACCCTGTCCCCCACAACATATTTGGTACCCTGTCCCCCACAACATATTTGGTACCCTGTCCCCGACAACCGGGTGGATTACACCCGTACACGTTTTATAATAGGAAATACTATTTCTTCTGATTCCTGGCAACTGGGTATATTACACCCATAGTTTATCTCATAGTAAATTGTTTTCTTTGTTCATTGTGGGATGGGTAACAATACTGACACGGTTATAATTAACTTGCCGCATGCTTTTACTAATCTGTTGATCTTGTCCTGACCCATTCCACATCACTTGTGCTAGAACATCGTCTTGAATGATAGTAAAGCTGCTCTATATACTTAGCCTCTGTTGCAACGAGCGGAACTCGGCTAAAAGAATCTAATTCCACTCAAAGAATCCACCTGATTCCATTAGCTACCACAGTATCAATACCAACCACATTAAACTCTGTTTCATTACGCTAGTGCTGATAATACCAACATTAAAAGTTTCTTTAAACTTTGTTTGGCTCCCAGCGTCATCAACGTCAACATTTGTGCCAGTAGCGTCTATGCTATGGCCATTATAAACTGTATATTCCGCGTTACTTTACTCCTCCAGTTTTCTAAGGAGCTCAGACACTAAAAACTTACAAAGAATGCCCCAAGATAGGCATAAAAATTGTTTTTCTTAAACAACAAAATTTACACTTGTAAGATAAACTATCAGAAATGCGTATCAATTTTCCCTTTTATGAAAAAATATAAACCACATTTTAGTGTGTTAATTATAAATAAAATGTATATTTCAATTTTATTTTAATTTAGAAAGTGTAGCAATTAATACTTTTCTATTTAAACTACTGGTTAAGTATAACTCTAAAATCGATCCAGTTAAAATATTTAAACATTGTTGGCATACAAAATTGAATATGTTTATGGCCAGTAAAGCATTATCTTATCAACTCTACTTAAATTTTACTACATTGAAATTCTAAATATTTTTTAACCAGTCTTGGGAACAGTTATGCATTCTTTCCCTTGCTAATTTTGGAATCTATAAATGGGAAATAACAAACAAAAGATTAACATTAATGTAAAGCCCGTCTATTTTTAAACACTGCATTATGTGCTAAAATATAAACTCGGATATTATTATACATACATATATATATATATATATATATATATATATATATATATATATATATATATATATATATATATATATATATATATATATATATATATATATATATATACATATACATATATATATATATATATATATATATATATATATATATATACATATATATATATATATATACATATATATATATATATATATATATATATATATATATACATATATATATATATATATATATATATATATATATATATATATATATATATATATATATATATATATATATATATATATATATATATATATATATATATATATATATATATATATGTTTGTATGTGTGAATGTGTGTGTACATAGATAGAAAGACGAAAATCACAAATAAAAAAAATCCATTATAGGGTTCTCAGCTTTCATTTGCAGCAAACGCTAGAAGCAAAAGTAGTTCGTTTCCAAGGTAACGGCTGCCCACATAAATACACAAGAATATGCTTAATTTACTGTATAAAAATAACTAAGGAAAAACTAAATGTTTAAAAAATAGGTCCTATACCTACATTTTCTTTGGTTAAAGCTTAAGAAATAAAATCTTGTGAGCTGTTAGCGTAGACCTACATAAGAGCGAGGCATAGTGTGATATGAAAATATTGTTCTACATTGATGCTGCATTAGTTCAGATATATATATATATATATATATATATATATATATATATATATATATATATATATATATATATATATATATATATATATATATATATATATATATATATATGTATATAAACATAATGTGAATGAAGTATTTAG